TGTCGAATGGAATTAATTGGTGTCCATTTGATCGAATCGATCGAATCGATCCATTCGACTGGCCTTCCTTGGATGCTTAATGCCCATGGAGTTACCCACCATTTGACTGTGGGTTGTCGAATGGAATTAATTGGTGTCCATCCGATCGAATCGACTGGCCTTGCTTGCATGCTTAATGCCCCTGGAGTTACCCACCATTTGACTGTGGGTTGACGAATGGAATTAATTGGTGTCCATTCGATCGAATCGATCGATTCGATCCATTCGACTGACCTTGCTTGCATGCTTAATGCCCATGGAGTTACCCACCATTTGACTGTGGGTTGTCGAATGGAATTAATTGGTGTCCATTCGATCGATTCGATCCATTTGACTGGCCTTGCTTGCATGCTTAATGCCCATGGAGTTGCCCACCATTTGACTGTGGGTTGTCGAATGGAATTAATTGGTGTCCATTTGATCGAATCGATCGATTAGATCCATTCGACTGGCCTTGCTTGCATGCTTAATGCCTCTGGAGTTACCCACCATTTGAATGTGGGTTGTCGAATGGAATTAATTGGTGTCCATTCCATCGAATCGCTCGATTCGATCCATTCGACTTGCCTTGCTTGCATGCTTAATGCCCATGGAGTTACCCACCATTTGACTGTGGGTTGTCGAATGGAATTAATTGGTGTCCATTTGATCGAATCGATCGATTCGATCCATTCGACTGGCCTTGCTTGCATGCTTAATGCCTCTGGAGTTACCCACCATTTGAATGTGGGTTGTCGAATGGAATTAATTGGTGTCCATTCCATCGAATCGCTCGATTCGATCCATTCGACTTGCCTTGCTTGCATGCTTAATGCCCATGGAGTTACCCACCATTTGACTGTGGGTTGTCGAATGGAATTAATTGGTGTCCATTTGATCGAATCGATCGATTCGATCCATCTGACTGGCCTTGCTTGGATGCTTAATGCCCATGGAGTTAACCACCATTTGACTGTGGGTTGTCGAATGTAATTAATTGGTGTCCATTCGATCGATTCGATCCATTCGACTGGCCTTGCTTGCGTGCTTAATGCCCCTGGAGTTAACCACCATAATTTGACTGTGGGTTGTCGAATGGAATTAATTGGTGTCCATTCGATCCATTTGACTATGTGTTGTTGAATAGAATTAATTGGTGTGCATTTTTATTCAAATGCAAAGAAAATAGTGTCAGGTTCAATGTTTTACGAATAGAACGATTTCATCAATCTGAATTGCGATTTTTCCATTTGACTCCTTTCGTCGGTACTGGACATCAATCGTTTCGTGGGTGAACAGATTTTGTTAATTCGACCAAGAAGCGAGCGAATCCATGCAAAGCGATGTTTCCATGGTACGAAACTGTCAAAGTGAGTGTATTGACCTGTAAAAGTATGTTTTCGGTATATGGAAAACTTGTTGGCATCTAGGTTAAGATCTAGAAAGTGTGGTGGTTCGTCTTAAAATACGTCATAGGTAAACCGTATATTACGGTCAAAAGAGTGGAATTCGTTCAGAAGGCAATCAATGTCGTCATGTTTGAATAGTAGTAGTGTGTCATCTACATATCGGCAATAGAAT